CTTTTACCCCCTTGAGCAAAACGCATCTTTTGGAAAGTCAAATTTTTGAGGTTTAAGAGCACTTCTCAGTAGTTTGCGTTTTCTGCGTAAAGACTTGGTCGAAACTAACACATAAGGTGATATTCGTGATCACCGACTTCTTCTGCATCTGGTGATGGGTGTCTCAACACTAAACTCTACTTAGGAAAAGTTTGAATTAGCGCTACCTTAGCTATTGTAGAGGCATGGCTTGATAAACACATCAATGATAATGATTTAACTATACTAAACTATACATCATATCGTTTAGTTAGAGAAATGAGAAATGGTGGTTGTTTAATTTATGTTCGCATTGATGCAATTGGGAATATTTTAATCATTTTATCTTATAGAACGGAATCCAATGTAGACGTATTTGAAATATATATGTTAAAGAAACAAAAGTGTTAGCTACTTTATGTGAAAGGTGTGACCATGCGTCAGTTCGAATTCAACTAAGTGGCAGGGGCCAGACCTCATCGCATATTTTTCCTAAAATTGGGAACTATAGCGCTGTTAGTTGGGATCGTTATCGTTTTTGTCTTGCTAAGAAACTCAATGAATCTGCTCTTTCTTTTTTTAGCCGCTTCTTTTTGAGCCGCTATGGCTATGTGGTTAAGTTATTTGGCACGTACCCCCAAGGTACTGTGTTCGAACCTCGACGCCATCAGACATGGAATGACCCTGGGCAAGTCATTAACGGTTGTTTGCCTCGCATCATTCGTCCGATAGCATACTGACTACGTTGTGATATACATCAGTCCTTGTGGCTAGTATGTGGTTAGTCAGTGGGTGCTCAAGGGGAACCTCAAGCGATTGAGCGAAAGAACTCTAAGTCAGGCTAGCCTTCTGTCCAGACTTACAGCTAATATTAGTTGTAGGCAAGATATCGGGCTTACAAAACTGTCTCCGGACAGCACCCTATACCGCAAGGTAGTCGAAAGGCGAGCATATCACCGACAAAATATTAAAGTTCATTTAGAGTTAAAGCAAAGTGCTTTTTCGTATTCAGCACACTTGTTAACCTGGAAAATTTTCTATTTTTAGCGAGGGGTACCGCCAAAAAGTTAAAAAAAATTTTTAAAATTGTTTAATTTTACCATGGGGATTTTTCTGCGTCAATTTGTTTGAAAACTTTTCTTAACTTTTTGACAGTACCCCTCCCTAAAAATAGAAAATTTTCCAGGTTATCAAGTGTGTTGAATACGAAAAAGCACTTTTCTTTAACTCTAAACAAACTTTAATTTTTTTTTATCGGTGATATGGTATTCTTCCTTCCTTCCTTCCTTTCTTTTTTAATGCTGATGTTCAAAATAAATGTTGAATTTTATCATCGAGTATAGAGCAAACTGCTGAAAATTGTATACCTCACAAAATAATAAAACCGGGTACTAATGATCAGCCATGGTCCACAGATTCATTGCGTGTTCTACACAAGAAGGAAAACAACTTGTACCGCAGATACAAAATATGATCTATCCAAACAGCACTATAAAGAGCCCCAAAACAGTTTTGATTGCGCGTGTGTCAAAGCTAAAAAGGATTATATTAATAGAATTAATCGCTTAAACTGTGCGAGAAAATATTGGTGGAAATTACTGAAACATAACCTACGGAAGGCTAATTCGATTTCAATTCCACTTCTCCTATATTCAACTCAAAACCTTAATTACGATTCTAAACAGAAAGCTAATATTCTGAACTTTTGCTGCTATTTGCAGAATGCCGGCTTTGGACTATATTGCTAATATCACAAACCACCGGAGGTGCAACCGGTACAGGTGCGGATTATAGCGCCGACCGGTATACCGGTATTAGTATGAAGCATAATCGGTCTGCCGATATTGCTGATATTTTGCAGTATGATACGATTTTTTTCAAAAAACATCGTGCAATTCATTTCATCTGTGACATATTTTTTCAACTAAAATTTAATTCCAATTACTAAAGCTTTGTCAGCCTTTATAAACTTCTTAATTTAAAAGATTGATTTGGATTGCTGTTTTCGTAAAAGAAAAGTGTGCGGAAAATCAGCGATACATAATCAAATTAAAAAGTTTAATCTATACCTATGTTAACATAAAATAAACTTCACAGTAAAGAAAAACAAGGAAAAAGTATTTTTATTTAGGCAAAATATGATCAAGGCAAGCCGGTACCGGTGCCGGTGTGGTACCAGTACGAAGTTTGTATACCGGTGGCCGGTACCGGAATCGCATTTTTAATACCGGTTACACCCCTGCAAACGACTCTCTTCCTTAGCCAAAGCCAACGCTAGGTATTTTTCGTGTTTCTGTACAAGAGATTGAACAAATTCTTACTAAGCTGGACGTTAATAAGGCATCTGCACCTGGAGTAAACAACCGCTTATTGCGTGAATCAGCTCTAAAAATATCAGAGGATGTGGCACACGTTTGTCGTACTTCTTTAGAAAGTGGTGTGCTTCCTGATTCTTTCAAAATTGGTTCTACCAGTGCTTTATTCAAAAGCCATGACTATACTATCCCTGATAATTATCGTCCTATAACATTGTTACCAGCTTAGTCCAAGGTTTTAGAAAGATTGGTTTATAAAAGGCTTTAATAGAGCTATTGTGTATTTTTAGACGGTTGAACTCACTTAAATAAAAAAAGTTTAAATCAAAAGGCTTTATCAATACTTAACTGAAAAAAAACTACTCTCTATTTTTCAAAGTAGATTCCGGAAAAAACATTCAACAGTCCATCAACTAGTAGAATTAGCATATTTAATCTATGAGGATCGCGAGTCTTCTAAGGACGTTGAGGTTGTTCTTCTTGATTTCAAAAAGGCCTTTACAAGGTCGGGCATTGTGGTCCCCTGTATAAGCTGGAAAGAAAAGGTGTGTCATAGGGGCTTCAGCGGTGGATCGAAATCTGCATAACAGAAAAATAGTAACGAACATCGAGGGTAAGTCATCTGATTCTCTTTCCATTCACTGCAGAATTCCCCAAGGAAGCATACTAGGACCGCTGTTCTTCTCGGTCTATATAGCTGATATTGGTAATAATTTATCAAGCCGGATACATCTGTTTGCTGATGATACTCTGCTATATTGTAGTGACCCAGACTCTCAAGCTGTGAACGCAACCCTAAATGACTATTTGATTAAAATTTATCAGTGGTTCTTACGATCGTTCTTACCGTTAAATCTTCCAAAATGTGGACGATGAATTTCTCTAAGAGACTACATGCAGGGTCATTGGTGTTGGGAGGTCAAACTTGGATTTGGTTCAGGATCATAAACACTTAGACTTGTGGTTCTATTCATCTCTTTCTTGGGAAACATATATTTCTTTTATTGTTGGAAAATGTATCTTAATTCTAGGAGCTATAGGCAAATTTAAGTGCACACTTTTAATGTCGGTTCTTAATCAATTATATAAAACGTTTATATACTAGATATCTAGCATTTCGTGCATATCACCGGACTTCGAAATTTTCAAATGCGATTAGAGTCCGGGGGATCCCCCGGACTCTAATCGCATTTGAAAATTTCGAAGTCCGGTGATATGCTTTTTCCTTATCTCACATACGACCACATATAGTCACATTTGGTCACATTTAGTAAAGAAGAACAAGAGAAGAAAAGAAAAGAAAAAATACTTGTGATGATAGGACAGTGAGTCATCCTTTGTAGACAGTCCTAAGAAGCATAGATCTGTTGCTTTATCGATGACACATAGATCAAGTAGATAAAGAAGAAAAAGATACATCAAGTAGATACATGATGTAGACACAGCATGTAGATATATTTTCACTTCTATTTGGAATGATGATCCATTGAAGACATGAAAGCAGAGAAGCATAAAGAAAAAAAGGTTCTTTTCGTTTTCTCGCATGGGCAGATATATCTTGCATGCAGAGTTCTGTATGTGTTACATGATGAATCCTTATACGCTAGAGCTCTACTCACTATTGATATATGCCAGTGTTATCTATTCAGGTGAACCAGAACTAGCATTGAAACCGCTTTTCCAGCTTCAATATCGTGCAGCTCTGCTTGGCTCTAGGGCGATGTACTTATCAGGTAGAGAAAAAGTTCTAGATACACTAGGTTGGCCTGATTTGAGAATAACATTGGAAATGAATAAACTTATTCTTCTCATAGTCATATTATCGGGCGATACGCCCAAATATTTGCGCGCAGGTATTAAAAAAACGGATCCAATTCCTTACTCACTTCGCAGTCGGTGTGAGTTGAAACAACTGCACTTAAATTCTGTACGTGCAGAGAAATCTTTTTTTCTGTACACAGCTTGGAATTCATTGCCAGATAACGTAAAACTAAATTGGTTTCAAAAACAAAAATTTCAAACTGAACTAAAAAATTATTATGATGTTACTGTATTTCATTATCGAACGTACGGTACTGATCGAATAGCAGATATCGTCTTCAACCGTTTGCGTGTGGATTTTCCACGACTAAATGCAAACTTGTATACTAAAAAACTGAGCCTCACTAATCTCTGTACTTGAGGTGATGTTGAAAGTGTTGATAATTATATGTTACATTGTGTGTTGTACTGATCGCAACGAAATAAACTTGAACAGAAACTCTCTGGGACTTACCGCAACCATTAAGTAGTGAATTGCTCTTACTTAAAATTCGTCTCTTAAAGGAACAGTATTTGATAGTCTACAAAAGTGTTACTGAATATATTCTTTCAACTAAAAGGTTTACGGTGAAAAAACTTGATCTGCATCTCTTAGCATACTGGATTCTCTCCTTCCTTTCTTCTGCCATTTGTTTGTTTCCTTTATGTCTCTTTTTTTCTGTTTTTTATTATGTATTTGCATTCTTTTCAAACGAAAAACGTAAAATAAAGAACGTAAAAAATTATCCATATCAAACAGGGCATTTTCTCATTTTTCGATTTTTGCATGCTAAAGTAGGCACATTTGCGATTTTTTGCGAAGTCTACAATTTGTATAGAATCATTATTACTCAATAAAGGCAAGACATGAACCTTAAACCATTACACGTTGGAATAATCGGTGGTGGTGCAAGCGGCTTAGTTACATTAAAAGAATTATTAGCCGAAGGACATGACGGTATAGTATTTGAAAAATCCGATGTTATTGGTGGTCTGTTTCAAACTGTGTATCAACAAGGTTACATGGTCAGTTCAAATGTGGTGACAATGTTCAGTGATTTTGTTGGTCTTGAACAGGATAAAAATGATCTATTAGAAAAACCTCGAATGTGGAGTTTTATTGAATATTCAAAATATTTAAATGATTATGCTGAACATTTTAGGTTAAGGCCGTATATTAAATTTCAAACTTGCGTCCAATCTGTATGGAAAAATGTAACGACTAATAAATGGAATATAAAAGTAAAGTCAGTTGTAGATGAAAAAGAAGCGATCTATACATTTGATCGTATAGCAGTATGTTCCGGTACACATCAAAAACGAAATATGCCAAGTTTTAAAGGACAACATTTATATAAAGGAACAATAAAACATTTACAAGATATTAGAAAATATGAAGATTTTACCGATAAAAGACTGTGTATTGTTGGGAGTGGTGAAGGTGGATCTGATATAACATTAGCAGCAGCAAAATATGGTAAAAAAACGTATTTATCAATTCGAAAAGACCATGGTTTTATATTGCCTCGATATCCAAATGGCCCATTTTACCCATCTGACCTTGGTACAACTCGTGCAATACATTCAATACCACGTGCACACGGTTTATTACATACATATCTTTATATATTTTTTAATCTTATTGCATCTTATATAAAAGGTATACGTACAGTAGAAGATAAGGTACAACGAGCAAGTTTATACATGAATTTAAAACAAATAAAAACAAGTAATTGGATGAATACATATGGTACAAAAAATACGAGTTTTGTCGAAGCAATGGTAGAATATAAATGTGAACGAAAACCGGCAATAAAAGAATTAACTGAACATAAAGTTACTTTTGATGACGGAACAGAAGAAGAAATTGATGAAATTGTGTGTTGTACCGGTTTTATAAGTGAATTTTCATTTCTAGAAATAGGTGATAAACAAGCAGATCCAATGCATGCTGAATTAGTACGTAAAGTGGCATATGACGCACGTATACCACATGATCTATACAAACATTGTGTACACCCTCATTTCGGCGATGAATTATTTTTCATTGGTTTTGTTCGTCCTGCTTTTGGTGCTATACCACCACTAGCTGAAATGCAAGCCAGATGGTATGCATTATTATGTTCAAATAAATTAGCATTACCAGATAAGGAAACAATGATTGAAGAAAGCAAAACTTATGTTAAATATATTGAATGGCAATTAACGCCTTATAGAACAAATCGAATTGTTAATTTAACAGATTTTGTCATCTATTCAGATGATTTAGCTCGTACAATTGGATGTAGACCACATTTAGTGAAAATGTTTTTTAGTGATCCATCACTCTGGCTAAAATGTATGTGTGGCCCAATTATGAATGCACAATACCGTTTAGTTGGTCCTCATAGTAAATCTGATCAAGCACGACAAATAATTAAACAAGTCAGATGGTTAAAACATCTGAATTTAGTGAGCTTATTTTTGTTATATGTTCATGCATTTATTTGGTTTTGTGGATTAAAATCACACCAACCAAGTACATGGTATCCTATCTCTGCTCCATAAACAGGTTTTGACCATTTTCTGTTCTAAATCTTTTTTTCAAGTTAATCAGCTTTGTGGAGCTTTTGCACTGATCACGAATAAGACTTTGGAGTTTTAATACAAATGTGCATATGCTGAGAAAACTTGCTTTTCCTCCAGCAGGGTTTGCGCCGTAACATTCGCAAAATGGCTCACCTATGAGCAAGAAACGTTTTCTAACCGTTTCAAAACTCAATGAAGCTGGGAGAAAACTTTTCCTCACAGACTGAAGTACTTCAGATCCTTTTAGGTAGACCTCATGGATAGTTTGCGCTTACAGCAAACCCAAATTCAACAATTTTTCACATACTACAGCACTTCCTACACCCACATACATTTCGCACATTTTTATGCACCCCACACCATTCTATACATCTCAAATGCTTTTTCATATTTCCAAACACTACATACATTTCTCCCATCCGACACATATCCATACATTCTACCCACCCTGAAAATCATATACATTTCATATATTTTCATATCTGCTATACATTTCCAAACATATCCTGCACGCTATAGTTCCCATACATCCCATACATTTCATACATCCCATACATCTCATACATCCCATACATCTCGTATATCTTGTACGTCTCATACATCTCATACATCTGATCTTGATTTCGGCACTGATCACGTACGGCTGACTTGTTCGAAACACATTCACAGCCAACTTCCCTCATGATGTATGGGTTGTAAAAGATGTGTGGGACATATGAGATGTATGGGATGTGTGGGATGTATGTAAATGGAGGAAAATGTATGAGGTGTGTATGATGTATGAAAGTGTATGAGATTTGTGAAATGGATGAAATGTAATCGAGTGAATGGAAGTGTATTAGATATGTGAACTATAGAATAGCTCCATAATCTAAGAGAAGTTTACATCTCATACATCCCATACATCTCATACATCTGATCTTGATTTCGGCACTGATCACGTACGGCTGACTTGTTCGAAACACATTCACAGCCAACTCCCCTCATGATGTATGGGATGGACAAGATGTCTGAGATGTATGAGATGCATGGGATGTATGAGATGTACAAGATGTATGAGTGAATAAAGAAGCTTCAGAGGTGATTGCGGCAATATGAAATTATTTCACGAGTTTTGAGTTTGCAGCAAAGGGAAACTATCCATCCTGTGTTTAGGTATGGTGCTTTTTAGATATCATACATAAATTCTACCCATAAATTCAGCCAATTTGCAGTTCATTAATGGATAGGTTCAAAAGTTTGACGAAAGTTCTCAAGGTGACTAATCAGATGTTTCTAATTGAGGAATCACTAATGTCATAGCCACCACCAATGGTACCACCCCCACCAGCCACCGCTGGCTATGAGATTTCTGATTCCTCAGTTAGAAACATCTGATGATTGTTATGAGGCAAGTAGCTTGACTGACGCGATCGATAACACACAATAACTAGCCATTCTTTTGAATACTCGTAGCTTACGATCATCTGGGTTTTTTAAAAATAACAAAAATAATTTACTTACCAAATACGATCAACTAAAGGTTCTGGTAACTGTTAAGAATCCAATTATAGTAGCTATTCTAGTGTGAGAAATGGTAGCTGTTTAATTTATTTTCGCAATGATGTTTTGGTCAAAAGATTAAACGATTTTGATAGCTCCAATTTTGAAACCATGTTTTTGTTGCAAACTTACCTGCGATTGGGAATATTTTAATCATTTTATCTTATAGAACGGAATCCAATCTAGACGTATTTGAAATATATATGGAATTTTTATCTGATTCTACATCTACTATCATTTTGCTGTGATCTCTTTCTGTTGTTTTACTAATAGGTGACTTTAATGCGCATTGCCCAAAATGGTGCAACGAGAAACCTTCTACAGCTGAACATTCTGTGTACGTAGAATATTCATGGGAAAAATAAATCAGAACGCAAAGAGAACAAGATCAAAGAGAAGGCGATATCTTTCACGTTTTGAGTTAACATAGTGTGAAATACCGTACATTAGAAAATTAGGTACTTTTGCCGCGCAGCACCACATTAGATAAAAGTTGGGCGCTAGGTGCAAAATTTTTCAGTGAATCTGACAGCGGGTTCCTTATAATTATACTTTGACATC